CATGTTAAATAAGAGTTAAAGAACAAAATGAAATAAAAAAATTTATTGATCTTTTTATTAATTTAATAACTAAGTAAGTAAGTAAGAAAATAGTTTGATACATTTAGTACAAGAAAACACATAAAATAGTTAAAAAAAGGCATTTATTATTATTATTAAATGTTCTGTTAAGATATCATGTTTGGATTAGAGTTGGATTAATTCGGATACTATTGTGTAATATATATTATATTGTGCAATATATTGTGTATTATATTATATATTATATTATTGTATACTTTTCATATTGTTTTATGTAGATATAATTACACTGTTATTATATAATTATATTTTATTAAAAAAATTCTATATAAAGTTGTTTTTAATTTTAATTGCCTAATACTTGAATTTTGCATTATATAATATGATGTATTGTGACATGACATGTATTACGACATAATATTTTATTGAATGATAGAAATTTAAAAAATTCTAATTTCGTCGAATTTGCATAATTCTAATATTCGATGTTCTATAAAATAACGAAAAAAATCATATGATAAGTTTTAAAAGAAGAACTTTAATTTCCAAGACTGTAATGGATTTAGTTCTAAAAAAGTTTTTCCGTGTTTTTACAAACGTTCAAATTTTTATAATTATTTTGGACAAAAGTATTTCCATTTTGTCATTCGCTGTATACTGTTAAAATATCTTTGAAGAAGGCGAATTCAAGACTATCAAAGTAGAGGTTTCCTACTTTAACATTAGCCCATGTGGATTTTTCGAATTAAGTTATAATAATTTAAAATATCAACAAGCTTCCACCAGTGTATTTTTCAAAAAATGTTCATGTTTTACATGTCTTAATATTAATGATAATCAGAAAAAATTGATATAAAAGGATGTTCAATGTATTAATTTCTTTCTTCTCCTTTTCCAAATAAAAGAAAATATGATGAAGCGGTTGAAAGAGCGGTAACATCTTTGATGAGACTAACGAATCGAATTTGCGAAATCCGAGTTTAACTTATCCGAAGGCACGATATCGGAGGCAGTAAACCATCAAACTACTTACAGAGGGTGAGGAATCTGGCTGAAGGCCAATGCAACGATTTCGTTCTGAGAGAGCTATCCATGGATCTGTTTCTTGAGAGTATACAGGCAACTTTGGCCATGAATGAAAATACTTACTTAAATAAATTAGCATATCAAGCTAATGATAATATAAAATAAAATTTATGAAATAGCCACTCCAATAAAATTTATGAAACGGCCACTCTGAATATAATAGTGAAACATAAATAAAACAGCTACGTTTTGTAGAGAACGTGAAGCAATTATAGATGTTGACAATTACTGTTAATTTAGTATCTCACGTCATTATTTTAATTTTTTAATCGCGAAGAAAATTTATATTGCATTTTTCTTTGATAATTTCTGTAAGAAAAAAATTTGCTTTATCATCTGTTATAGATAAATTTTCTTTTAGATTCTTAGTTCTTAGATATACTAAAAAATATCAAAAATTGATCCTTTTTACTTTGAATATTGTTTAAATATGTTTAAATCTTTTTACCATTGTAAAAATGTATATTATTATATATATTTGGGTGGATCACATTAAATAAGAAATATTTGTATAACATCGCAATTTAAGAATGATTAAAGGTGAAAATTTACATTCTTTTTTTAAAAACTCAAAGCGATGGAAAAAACGATTTTAATATTCATATTCAACGTACAAATCTGTAAGAATCATTTATTGAAATATAAAAAGAAGAAATTAAAATTTACTAGAAAATGTTATCAAAAAACATGATTCATAATGAACAGACATTATTGATTAATTACTTATTGAGTGTGTCAACGTGCAATGATTCAAACAAACAAACTCGTTGAAAGGAAAAGAACGATTTTATTACATTAAGAAAAGTTTATTAAATGTTAAAAAGTGTTTTGAATTATTCTTTTTATGCGTAAGATACAACGACTGTAGCGGTTAATCTATTATATTATGCATGACGAAGTTTGGACACTATAATATATTTATTTAATTTTGGTTATACATATATGAATATATGTTTCTATTGTATTTTCATCAAATGATGGCGTTTTCAATGAACCATGATCTTGAAGCATAAACTTCTCCTATTTTTGGTTTCCTATGATGATAACTGTATCTTAGCTTTACATTTTAATCAAATTTTTTCCCTCCCTTATATTGATTACATTAATCTTGTTAACGTTTCTTTTACTTATTTTGAATTATCTTTTCTGTCTTTTTTATTACAGCGTTTTAAATACTTTAACTTTAATTTTGTAAAATCTATCGAATGAAAGACGGAGAAAGATATAAGTTGTATTCTCTTTGTGTTCTTTATACAATATGTTTTATAATGTAAAAGTGAAAACCTGATTGACTATGTACAATTTTGTAGAAAATAATGAACTTAAATTAGTGTATTAAAAATTATGCAGTTTTATTTAAAAAAACATTTATATGATCTCTATGCGTTACAAAAAAATTAATTATACCAGATTGTAAATGTCTCGAAACTATTCATTTCTTGTCTAAACTACCTTTTTATATATTTTTTATTAGTAATTCACATAAAATATATGTATACAAAATGTATATGAAATATATATATACACACATATGTACATACACTACTGTCCATAATAATAAGTATTTGAATAAAATATAATTCAAATGAAACTTTTTAATTTTAGTCTCTGATTTTATCTTGAACAATTACAATATTAATTATACATGATACGTTTAAAAAAGACTGATTTTTTTACAGATGTTCTATAAGAACGCGATGGCACGATATGATTTAATTATTGAATTTTGTTTCACGATATTAATTTGTTCTTTAATGCCTAGTTATAAAATTGTTTGATTTTGTTCGTTGTCACGATTAGAAATATGGAGCAACGAACCGTAATTAAGTTTCACGTTAACAGTGAAAAAACGGCGATTGAAACTTACAGAATGATGCAAAAAGCAGATGGATAGTTTTTTAATGATTTAAACGATTTAAAGAAAGTTGTCAATTACTCGAAGATGATAAAAGAGAAGAATAACCTCTGACAAGATGACAAAAGAGAGATTTCATCAAGATGAAAGTTGAATCTGTTCGTTCTCTGTTGTCAAGATGTAATCTCCTACTATCGAGACAGGACATTACATCTCGGATAATGGACAGATTTTTGAAATGAATTCGACGCGTGAGGCCGAAGCTTTACCGATCGGGATAATGGTTCCTGAACGACGATAACGCAGCTGCACATTCGTCAATCATCGTCACAAAATTTTTGGCATAAAGGTGTAACTATTACCAACCACTCATCTCGGCAGATTTAACATCTGCTGACTTTTTCTTATTCCCTAAAATCAAATTACCAATTTGTGACTTATTATGAAGAGGTAAATGAGATAAAGGAGATAAAGAAGATAGTGACTAAGCAATTGAACACGAGAGAAATTCTCCAAGACTTTCAAAGCACTCTATGAAATCAATTGTACTGAATGTATAACTAGAAGAAAGATGTATGTAGGAAACTGAAAAAATGAAAACTTCTTAATCAACACAATTATTTTTTATTATATTAGTCTTGCAACTTTTTGCAAACATACCGTGTATGTATATCTTGAATAGTAATAATAATTTAAATACACATGTCCCTCGATTTATGCGCATTATCCATTCTATGTGGTTTGGCATTAAAAAGCTGATATAAGTTATAAAAATATTTATTTCACAAAAAAATCAACGAGAATTATATATAGAGTAGTAATAGAATATAAATAATAATTGTATGTAGAATCGTATATAAGAATAGCAAGTATTTTGTTATTGTTAAGAGTAATTACCAATAATAAAAGAATTCGCGTAAATTGAAATCATGTATAAAAGGTAATTATTATCACATAAAAAGAAATATTGCGTAAATCGAGAAATGTCTTCAATCATATATAAGTCTCAAACTATTATCCATTAAGATAATAGTTAAGATAATAGTTAAGATTAAGATTGATGATGTTTATTAATAGATAAAGAAGATGGATGAAAATTTATCTCGTAGAGACATTTAAGTGATTCGAATTGTGTTTATTCTCTATCTTATTGAGATATTCTTATGTCTATTTCTAGTCATATTCTAAAAGTTTCCAATTCACAGGAAACTTAAATAATGCAGATATATTGCTTGTTTCATTTTTAATTTAGAATATTATTTTCTAAGTATTGTTAGAAATAAAGGATTAACAATAGAAAAACATGATTCCATTATAAAAGTTAAAAGAATAAAAATATTAATCTACTTATCGTATTAATTGTTTAAATATTTATGGGCGATGTATAAATTCTATTGTTATGAAAAACTTTCGTTAAAGATATGACAATCAAATACGAATGAGAAGTAAAAATATTTCATTTCGTTTGAGAGAGAGAGAGAGAGAGAGAGAGAGAGAGAGAGAGAGAGAGAGAGAGAAATTTTTTACACTTATTTATTTTTTAAAAATTTAATGTACTTGGAAGTAATTATCTAAAATTTAAATGTTATTATAAATGCTATTATAAATAGTGTGCTTATAATTTACTACATATTGTAGTTATATACGAAGTAGTCTACAATTCTTTCAAGTAACTCTGTTAAAGAAAAGTGTTGAGAAAAATGATACATCTTCTTCAATAAATCTTCTTCGATAATTTTTTTACCATTGTACTCCAATACTTCTTTACGTAAAGAAATTTATCTATGCAAAAAAAAAGTATAGATTTAAAAAATAATGCAAATGTTGATTACACATCCACACTGTACTTTTTTTTAAAAAAAGTAGTTCGAATATAACATTCTTTGAATTCATCTTTCTCCTTCGATTTTATAACTACACTGATAATGGAATTGTAACTTAAAACAATTGTATAGACAGTGTATATTGAGTCATGAGACTTGTACAACTGTAAATCAATCGATATCACAGGATTGAAAGTTTAAATGAGGTTTAACGTCCCTTAAAAATATTATAGAAATATATTTTCTTTCCTGTACATTATTTTATCTTTCAATATATCTGCTATTGTTCAATTGTATTTGGAATGTCGTTATTATAATAAATAATATATAAAAATAATTATATATAATCTCTATTTGATATTAACCTGTAAGACTTTCTTTGATCTTGTTACAATGCCTATAATATTTAAGGATTAAAGCTTTAATTAATTAACTAGCTAACTATAATTTTGATATCAATAATACTTCTAGAAATACAATGCGCATGCCAAACAATTCCACTTGACAACCGCTTATCTACGAAACGTCATCTTGCTGACAGCGTGGTGACATCTGTTAAAAAGGAAACTGTCAGGTCAGCGGACTCTTTTCACACATCATTTTGTTCCTTCGTTTTTTTTTTTTTCAACGTCCATAACTGTAGTTATCATCAGCAACGGGACCAACTTCGAGCTTCTGTTTTAGAAAGTAAGCCTTTCAAGCTTTGAATCCGTTCGTTACTTCGAGTATACCGATCTTAACTTTTCACTCAATTGCTCAAGGATATATTCAATTTTTACACTGCTTTGTTACAGACAGATAGGAATCTGTAATTTATTAATGTTTATAGAATATACTTGTTTGTAATAGATTGGATAGAAAAAGTAAATTACTTTTTTGTTTCAATATTATAAATTATTTTAATATTATATTAATAAATGTTAATATTATAGATATAAATTGTTCCAGTAATTTCTACATTTGGTATTTAATATTATGATTGAACGAATTATAACATTAATATAATTCTGATACATTAAAAACAAATTTCTAACAAATTTCTTCTAA